GGGGTCCCCCCATAGTCCCCTCCCCCCTCCTCCAGCCCTACCCCTGCCCCCTACTTACTGGGTCCAGCTCCCTGCGGTGGTGAGCGGGGACTGCCCAAATCTCCGAAGTTCTCTGAATCTTTTCCAAATTGATTCAGACCTTTTTATTGGTCTCCCAATTTGATTCAGATTTGAAGATTTGGCTGCCAAATCGGGCCAAATCTCCTTTGAATCAAATCAGCACCTGAAGCTTCTCACAGCCCTACTGCACAGCTAATGACAGTGCCGTAACAGTGGTGCCACAGGAAACACTGCACCAGGACTTGGCAACAGAGTAACTTTTTTTTTTTTTTTTAAAGCATACTCAGGTGCTCATTTATGGGTGTTTAGAGTTGAGACTAGAACTTGCTACTTAATGATGCACATCCAGCAGAGGGAGTGAAAGACCATGCATTTCCTTTGGATGTTACATAGGAAATACATTGTGCATGTTCATATAATATGATATGTATTTTTACATTCTCTGTAGTGGGAAAGTGGAGATGAAGGAAAACCATTTGGTTACTCTGAGTATTCATCAAACCATTCCAATTGTTACAAAATTACAGAACTCTTTTTTTTTTTTTTTTAAATAAGAATACTTGAGGTCAGCACACACCACTTCAAGGTCTTCTGGTTTGTCTCGTTTTATTTTTTCCTGTAGTAGAAAAGAACTCATTTTGTTACAATCTCATCTACTTTCTACAGTATATGGAAAAATACAGAACTTTTAACACTTTAATAAATATATAGGTTAAATACTTATCTGGAAATTGCACCTGCAACACACTGACATAACTTAACTGGACTGGTACTATATTCACACATTTCAGACAAGAGAATTAAAACAGCCCCATTAAAGTGTAATATTTGAACTTCATCTTTCATAGTAGCGTAAAGCTAATTGGGATACTTTACCTCTGTACTGTGCTTCCCCTTCCTTGTGAAATTCATGCTGTCTTGGATATAAACATGGCCTGTTCAGTTATAAAATAATTGCCATGCTATTTTTATTAGAAAGCTTTCACCAGAAAGGGGCTACTAAAGAATAATATTAAGGTAAATAAATTCTAGTTTTTCTATCCAGAATGATTCAAAGCCACTGACTACCCACTCATATAGTACATACTATAAGATTTCTAAATCAAAATTACAAAACCACTCTATTATCAGTTTACAAAAATGGAACCAAGCATCCAAAGTGAGTGGTTTGTTTTTCTGTTTTCTTGTTTTTTCTACTAAGAAAAAGTCACTAGGTATTATGCTGAGAAGAAAAGTCATGCTTATGCTAGCCAGAAAGCAGTGTTGCTGCTGACTACATAAAAACCGAGTGGTAACTAAGAACTTCCTCTGGGTGATACACCTGCAATAGGCTTCCAGCATTCTGTTTAGTCATAGTGACCTGTAAGTAAAAATTGAACAATCATAGCACACCATATAGTTTCTTTGATAGTCTGCTGCCTGTGCAGCAGTTTCCAAAGGTGTCTGTCTCTTTAAAGAAAGGTGGGGGGGCAGGACTGTTTGAAATATAATTCTCTGCTCTAGGGGGCATATGGTGGCGGTTTTTCCCCTGGCAGGAAATAAGTTGGTGTATATAGTGGTGGAGCATTTGGAGGTAGACCATAATTAGAGCTGGAGTGGGATGGAGGCTGAGTATCATCAGATAAAGAAATATCTGTAGATGACGATCCTGGAAAATTGCTGGCAGGCTGTAATGAGACAAAGAAAAATAACTTCTTCAGTACAAGAGTGCAACCAGGTTTGCAGATATGCTGTATTAAGTGTATTATATATAACATATAAACATTAAATAATAAATCCTAGAGCTAAACCTCTTGGGCATCTTTATTGCAGCAATTACTGTAATATAGGTTTCGTTAAGATTATTACATACAGTGCATATCAAGGTGACACAGTTTATACTTTGTAATCCAGGTTTAAGTTTTCAGTAAGACTTAAGCTACAAATTACCCTGCATGAAAGTAACTGTAAGAAAAAAAAAACACAAAACATACATTTGTAAGAGAGACACTCTACTTTCCCAGGTAAGTCACTGTATCTGACTGGTCTTCAAGATGTGTGGAGCTGTTTATTTAAATCCGTGTTGATACTTGGAAAGTTTAAGGCAGGGGTGGCCAACCTGCAGCACAGGTGCCATAATGAGCATGGGTAGCCCCTGCTTGTGGCATGTGGCAGGTCAGGGAGCAAACAGGCAGCACAGCAGCAGGGAGCAGAAAAGAGCAGCAGGTAGGGCAGAGGAATGGGACTGAAGTGGCAGTTAGGAAGGGTGTGGTGCTTAATTTGTGGCACACCTGCCAAACAGGTTGGCCCCTGCTGATGTAAGGGCTAAAGGCCTTATATAGAAATGTGTTATTTGTGGATAAAATCCACATTCTTGTATCTACTGGAACTATTATGGCCTACAGGGCAAGTACTTTTGAGTGGCTGTACTTGTGACCTGGTTTAACACTGAAACGTTAAGTCAGTGGTGCCAAGCATACACCCTGTTATCTATCCCCAGGCTGCCCCTCTGTCTGAATGGACCTGGGCCAACCTCCGGGGCAGGACATCCATCCTGGCCACTCCAGGAACTGTGCCACACATGGTGCCCACCCCAGGTACTCCTGGATGTGTACTGCATGCTGTGCCTGCTTTAGCTAGTCTGGAACCAGCACTGCACGGGGTGCCCACAGGTCCTGGACCATGTGGAGCAGGCACCCTGTGCAGCAGTCCTGGAACAGCTCCCTCCCCTGTGGCTGGAACAGGTGGCACAATCTGGCTGGGCGGGTGTCATGTGTAGCATGGTGCCCACTGGCTGTTCTGGGATTCATGCTATGTGTAGTGCCTGCCCCAGCTGGACTGCACTGCCCATGCCACTTGTTCCAGCTGCTCCAGGATCTGCACCACATGTGATGCCCTCCTCAATCGCTCTGGGATGTAGACAACATGCAGCATGAATCCAGGAACAGGGACTGGATGCAGGGGGAGCATGGGATCTGGGATCCCACTGACTGACCCCATGTCACTCATCTGGACTGTGGGGCCAGATGAATGTGACACCCCTGTAGGCCCTTTGGGCTGGTTCTTCAGTAAGAATAGTGCTTATGAAACCAAGCCCTGTTTGAGAGAGAATCAATCACAGCATTTGTTTAAAAAATAACAGGGGAAGTTTTTGGACAGATCTGGAGTGAAATCCTGACACTGTTTGCAATGGGAATGTTACTTTCAATAACCCCCACATGTTAGGACATGCCATGCAGTGGGCTTCAGTGCAAGTGATGAGCACCCAGGTGCAGTCCCAAAAGAAAATGAAAATCTTTCATGGCAAATATAATATCCTGGCAGATAAACTCCACTGTCCCAGTATTACCTCACCCATTCTTTCCTAGAACACTGGCACCGTCCCTGCAACTAGGCTAGCTCCTCCTCTTGGAGATGGTGTTCTCTCCTTACATGCATGGATCTCTCAAAAGGAGTTCTCTGAAAGCAGATAGCAAAACTTTGAAGTCAAGAGCCCCTGTGTGGGTCTGAAAGGAGAATTGTGTCCTCCATTTATATATTAATTGGTTTAAATAGTATTAGTTATGTCTGAAAAGGGGGAGGGGGGTACTGGGTATGTCATACACAAGCTGAACTTTTAAGATACAAATGCAGTATTGACATATTACAGTTGAAAAGACAGAACAATAGAAAAGCAGGGCTGGAAGGCACCTCCAGAGGTCATTTAGTCCAACTAGATAATAGTACTAACACTGCTACAGAACATGGCTTTACCAGCCCTTAAAGCCACTGGTGACAGTTTCACAATGAACCAAGAATCTTCTCTCTCATCTGATTTCTGGTGGTTGGTAATGATTAGAACAGCAGTCACTCCTGTTAGCGTCATTTGCACAATTATCCACTCACCAGATCAGATAGCAGGTCTGTTACCAAAGAGCAGGACTAGATTACAGCATTAAAAAATAACCTGTGTTATTAATCCCTTCTAGAAATAGCTCTAACTTTACAAACAGAAACTCTGTCTTATATACTTGTAAAATCCAAATGCCTCATGTCATGTTTTGCTATTATCTGCTTGGGGGAGAGGTATAGCAAACGGCCATTGAACATGAACACAAACATTCATTGGTGCAACAGCAAACCACTCACCCAGGTGAATGCACTAGGGTAGAGCATCAGCTTCTCTCTTAAACATACTCTTCTCATTCTTTGTAGCCTAATGAATCCTTGAGTGTTCTGTGAGGTAGAGATGTGGGTTTGACACCTTCAGGCAGAGAGAGAAACTGAATTCTGATCTCTCTCAACCTGCATGAATGGGTGGTGGTGGTGCTCTGGTTTTGAAACAGACCTTAGCAATTTTGCACAAGGAGAGCATTCAGAGTTGTGCATCCTAAATATAGGAAGGCATCTCCTTTCAGCCTAGAGTGAGGCACCAACATCCCATACACTAGAACAGGCTAAAGTAACTAACCATATTGGATTTTCAAGATTTGACATTCTACAACTTTACTGCTGCCAAATTTCCAGACTCATGAGGAGCTTTGGGCCCTATGGGCTGGATCCAGTGCCTGAGCAAGAGCTGTGTCAGGCCCTAGTGCCCAATCCTGGTATGGGAGGCTGTGAGGGGGTAGCGCAGGGCCCCTGGGACTGAATCCCAGCATGCAGACTGGCCCTGTGCCACTTACCTGGCACACATGGCCACAAAATTAAGTACTGCTGGTCTAGGGAGCCTGGCCATCTAAATCGGTAATAGATTCCACTGTGGACAATATGTTTGGTGGTGTAACTGCATTGTCAGTAAGATATTTGCTGGAATAGCACTCCAACCCTAAATAATTATGCTGGCAGAATGAAACTGTAGAACCAGCTTAAGGCTCCAGTAGGTGTAAGTCACTTGTGACTTTCATTCTATATAAATAACTAACCTGATTTCCCTGTTGCATATATTCAATTTGATCTTTGGTTTATCGGTAAACTAGTATGGAGTAACTGAAAACTCACACAGTTTGTCTCATCATAAATGTCCAGCTAAGCTGTAGAATCATAGAATCATAGAGAATCAGCCATAGAGAATCACAGAAGCAATGAGTCGGAAGGGACCCGGACAGATCATCTAGTCCGACCCCCTGCCATGGGCAGGAGGGAGCACTGGGGGCGGCAGGGGTCATATCCAGACTCCTCTTGAAGATTTCCAGGGAAGGTGAGAGCACCACCTCTCTGGGAAGCCTATTCCAGGCTCTGGCCACCCCTACTGTGAAGTAGTTCTTCCTAATATCTAACCTAAACCTATCCTCCCTTAGCTTGTGGCCGTTGTTCCTGGTGACCCCAAGGTACAATACCTAGGGAGACTGATGTTCTATTTAGAATGGTATCTATAATAGCCAGCATGTGGATGATACTCTGGAAAAGATGCTTTTTAAATGTCACCCCACTACAGGAGATAAACAGGTTACTTAGGGCTACAGGCCAGAGCTATCTCCGATTGAAATATACAGTTCCAAGGCTTCTCCTGGAATTGGGGCTGGCATCACTATTTTGTATGGGGCACAGTCTGGTCAGTGAGCTCTGAGACCACCTACTGCATCAAACCTTGCATGGGGCCAACACGGAAGAATGCTCAGTTTGTGGGTAATAGGGCTTAGGTACTCAGTAGTGTCAAGACACTGGCAGCTCCGGATATGCTTAGATGCAGGCTTGTAGGGACTGATGATGAACAAGTGTCCACCTCTGGACATTTGATGCCTCAAAGGCTAAGAAGCATCTGATTTGGGTTTGGAAGATCTACCTTTTGGACTTAGGAGTCCAAACCTCATTTGACTGCCCTCCTTTGACACCTAAATATTTTTCTAGACCTAACCCAGATATCTCTTCACTAATAAAGTTGGTCGTAGCCTACAAATATGGTTATTTCAGAACTGGTTTGTTGTTACTTACAAAAATTTCAAATAGGATGATGATTGTCTCGGTAGACTGAACATCTTCACTAAGCTAGCAATTGCTCATATATATAAGATTTTTATACTAGTGCTGCAGTTCATTCCCTCCACACTGCAGCATGATTATATCTTACATTTAGGAAAGCTGTTTTTTCTTGGAGAGGGATTAATAGCTTGAACTGTGGAAGCCCAAGCTGTCAGCTGACTGCCTCTGACTATCAGATAGAAAAGGAAAGGAAAATGAACTCATTTAAAAATATTTAGCAATATATGAAAAAGGATGAAGCTGTCTATTTTGCAGTGTATTTGGAAATTCTGGTTAAAGACAGCAAGCAGTTTGTATGGTCTGACATGAATTCTACAGTTACTTCTGTGGTCTCTTCAGTTGTTTTATATTGATCCTCTTTTCTCTAAAGACCATTTCTCTACTCTCAGTCCACACTTAATTGCTCTCTGTTGAACTCTTAGAAAACTGGAGCATTTTCATTGAGAACTGGAAGTGGTCCCTCATTACTGTCTCTCTGCCAGTGCATGAAGGTATGTGATGCATACACTAGACTATGCAGATGTGATTGACCATATCAAGTTTTCAGAATCTGATGTTCTACAACTGTACTGGCCTCACAGCTCTTACTAGGCATTTAGTGATGTAAATATTTATGAGTTCCTCTATGGTGCATATCAGTTTAATCCACCTACTTCTGTGGCTTACCTTGCTGTGGTACCTATGCAGCCTGCAAACAGTTAAATTGATTTATCAACATGGCCTGCTTCTGAAGGATCAGAGATAGAGATAGCTGGATTCAGTGAAGGAGAAAAGGGCCTATCTCTTTGCATAGTACAGGGAGAGAGTTTGATGTCTCTGAATAGCGAGCCAGAAAATCTGCATGCTCAAAGAGCTACCTGGCACTTACTGTTGGGAAAGGCTGGGATGATGGGGAGTAAGTGAACCACCAACCCTTTTTCTAGGGTGTAGCTATCTGATGCAGGCTGCAGGCAGGCACCTCCCTCCCCTCAGGCTAGCTGTCTAGGCTTGTTCTATCAAAAAAACAGACAGGGCTTGAAGCCACAGGAAGAGGAGGTTGTGGTGATGCTAGTGGTACTTACCTTGTTCCGGCAACCGTTAACAAGCCATGGGCTGGAACAACCCTGCTCTGGTCCAATGCAGGCTGGGTACCTCTGATAGCACAGCAGCAGAACAGGGACTTTCCTTGCAGCTGCACCGTGGCCAGGAAGCTAAGAGCTACATCTGTGCTGCTACTGCTTCTCCCTGTGCACTCCCCCTCACTCTGTGGCTGCAGCATAGGCACAGCTTCAAGCTAGTGGGGAGTTGTGCTAGGTCCTGAATGCTGGAAACTGCATCTGCACTGCTACTGCTCTGACCTGCTTCCCTTTCATTTCCCCCATTTCTTTTGTGCCCCCATCGCATCCTGGCTGCAGTGTGGGTGCAGCTGCAAGCTGCTCAGCCTCAATGCAGATCCCCACCCACTGGAAGCTGCCCACACTGCAGCCAGGGGGAGGAAGGAGCTCCTCACTGCTTGACTCCAGCATGGGCCACCGGCACTGACACAGGTAAAACCCTTGAGCTCTATGGCTAGATCCAGTGGTTGCATGGGATGCATCTGGCCCACAGGTCATATGTTGCTTTATAACTAACTTGCAGTTACCATATTTTTGGTGTATAAGACCAAAAGTAGCACCCCTCCCAAATGATAAAATTGTGCCTTCATGACACTCTCCTTTCCTGCTTTCCCCAGCAGTCCCTGGAAGGCTGTCTCCTAAAAGTCACTTCAGCATATACACAGGGAAGAATGGGGGTCTTCTACTATAGCTCCTCCATTCTTCCCACTGGTGTCTCCCAGCTCACATTCAAGGTACAGCTACTCCTTGCTTAAAGTCGTAGTTACATTCTTGAAAAATGTCTTTAAGTGAAACGATGTTAAGCAAATCCAGTTACGTCACAGTAGTTACCCACCAGCAGGCAGCAGCCAATCAACGTTATAAATGAACATCGCGCAACTTTAAACAAGTATGTTCTCCAATAGATCAGCAATGTAATAATGAAACAACGTTAACTGGGACGATCTTAAGTGACGAGTACCTGTACCAGTACCTAATTTCAATCACCTGGTATTTTTCCGTCTGTAACTTTGGTGTAAAAGGTGCACCTTACATTAAGCACTCTATTTGTGTGAAGGGGGATGAGACATCTTATACATGGGAAAATACAGTAGTTCATTTGCCTAGGAAATGGGAGATATGGATTCAACGCTCTCATCCTGGGAGAGATCAAACCTGAATCTTCCATGTGGCAAGACAGCATCTGAACAACCAGGATAAAGTAAAGGGAAATGGAGAAGGGAGGGAGAAAAGAGTAAGAGATTGAGTAGAGGATGTCTGGAGCACGGGGTATGTTAGTTTTGTGACTGTAGGAGGGTGACAGGAGAGAGTTGGGAGAACAGATCAGGTTTCTTTGGTTAATCAGGTTAGTCCAGGGCATGTTGAGAATTTAAAATATGCTCAGTGAGTGGTGTGCTGTCAGCTTGCTTCATTCAACAATGAAGATAAATGATGCAGCGAGTTGCATTTTAAAGTTACACTCCCCACACAGAGCAGAGGCACTTCACAATGTTGCAGAAGCCAGCGGCTTTTTTTCAGTATTTTTGTACACACCGCGAAACCTTTACTTTCTTGCTAAACATGTTCAGTTCACACTCATCTTCCCAACTTAGCTTCCTCCCTTTCTGTCTGTTGCATCCAGTCCGACATATGGGCTGTGAGCTCTACAACACATCTGGGCCCAGATACTGGATTGAGTGTCCTAGACATTACCATAGTACAAATAATAATAATCAATGAAGACTCCTGAGAGCTAGAGCTAGACTGACCTTTGCGCTAGTAGCAAAGGGGAGTCCACTCTTCTCTACTACCATTAAATATCCAAAGCACGTGACTTACTACTGCAGTTTATATACTGATGAGTATCCTCTGGTTTCCAAGAAGACTTACAAGAGGAACAGAATTTAGTATTGTACCTGGAGAGGTAAAGGATATGATGAGTATGCAGGGATGGCTGCTGCAGAGGGACAAAAGCCAGCATATGTCAGGATCTGCTGAGCTGGATTGTACAGGATCTGAGGAGGAGGGGCAGAGCTGAAAGCAATTTGTGACAGAGGTACCTGTTGGACATAAAAGATGACAGTATTAGTGAATGCATCTGTAATTAGTTTTCCTTTTCCCCCCTCCCCTAATTTCTCTCGCATCAGACTAAGAGTGATTCATTTAACACCTTTCTTTTTCCTATTTTTGTATTTCCCTGGCAAAACTGGTGTTATATGTCACAACTTTTCCTTTTGTGGTGATTCAGAATGTTACCTTGTAGCGTGATCTCACCTTCCATCCTTTGCACGTTACTACATTAAGCGTCACAATGTGCCCTGTAATCTAGATAACTAATCTGGACAACCCAAGGCACTCTGGTATTATGTCCATACACATCCTTCCCCAGAGACACATGGGGTATGTGCATGCACATGTATATGTAGGGTGCTTTAGTGGTTGATTTCTGGGGTTGAGGGGGGGGGCGTGTCTGAAGTTAAAAAGCAGCTTTCATTTTCTTCTTCGAAGCATTTGGCACTTCCTGCTCACTACCTGATAATGCAGTGGCAGGACCCCACACTGAGAAACCTGAAGGCTTGACTCCCTCTCTCTTCTGCCTTTGTACCAATAGGGATATGTCTGTGCATCTGTGGAAGATGGTACAACACCTCCACTACTTGCTCTGGATGTATATACAACCAGCCTGTTGTATATCTCAGTCTCAAGCTGCACTTTGTTTTCTGACTGGGTCAGGACTGTCCAATTTCTAAGCTGCTAGGGGCTGCTCCCTGTACAAGTCACACCAGCAGGGGCCTCAATCGTGCAAGCCATGGGCTCGCTGCACCACATACCTAGGCAGCCTCCCCATCACTTCTGCATTGGATGGCACAACCCTCGGCAAACTGGCTGTGGCCTTCCCCCTTGCCTTGTGCAGTGGGTTTCTGCAGGAAGTGGAAGCCAGAGGAGGGACAAGAAGCCGGGAGAGCCTGGCTGCAGCCACAGCTGAAACAATATGGGAAGTGCTGGCCTTTTAGGAACCTGGAGCTGCAAATTAACCCATGCCAGGCTGCCACTGGATGGCCCTACACTAGGTGAAACGAGACTCTGCCCTTCTTGTCTAATTTGTGTCAGCTGACCTTGTAGGCCCCTACCTCTGCACAACAGTTTGAACAACTGGCACTCAAAATGATGCAGGCACAGAGAAAGGACTACCAGGATGCTGAAGGAAATGGAGCATCTCTTAGGACAGGACAGGATGCAAGAAGATCTTGGCTGGCTTAGCCTGGCAAAAAGAAGGCTGAGAGAGGACATGGTTGGTCTCCAGACCAAGCACCAGGGGGAAAAAATCCACTTAAGCAAAGAGACAAATGTTGGCATAAGATACAAAATGGCCATGAATAAATTTAGGCTAGAAACAAGGAGGTTCCTAAGCACTAGGGCTGCTTACAGATATATTAAAAAAATGGTGTTTTACTTCAAACTCCAGCCATCCCCGTGCTAAGCCCAGCACATGGCCAGAAGAGGCTTCGTACTAGTTGGACCTGGCTCGCCAAACGTCTGTATAGATCAGGTGCTGCAGCAGGGCTTTTTGGCACTTTTATCTAATAGCTGATTTCATCAGCTATTAGCTAAAAGCGACAAAAAGCCCTGCTGCAGCACCTGATCTATACAGATGCTGAGGAGCCAGGTCCAACTAATGCACTGCTGCTTCCAATAAAGTGCAGTTTGTGGCGCTTTTTCCATGTATGTCAGTGCCCTAGAGCACTGAGGTTTTAGAAGTACTTTTGAGTAGGAAGAGGGAACCCTTCTACCTCTAAGACAAAGCTCAGCCAGTTTATGAAAGTGATTATATAACCTGGTTACCTCCAATAACAGAGAACTGGACTTGAAGACACAGGGAGTCTCTTGTTCCTCAAATTAGGTCTCAGGCTACAAGCCCCACAGGGCAGGGACCAGTCTTCCAGGCCCACAGCCAGCCATGGAGAAGCGGGGAGGCATCACGTTATAAGAATTCCAGGGTCTCCCCCAGAAAAAGTCTGAAATACCAGGCTCAATTCCTTGCCCTTTTGATGATTTTAAGGCAACCCTTTCTCCACCTGTACTCCCCCCCCTTTTTTTTTCTGTACCTCACAGCTCTCAGTGCCTCTATCTCTCTTACCAGCCAATGTCCCCTTCCAATTACTGTCACTTTACCAACCGCCCTTAATGCTGCTGCCTCCCACCCCTGCACTCTATGCCAGGGGCAGGCAAAATACAGCCCGTGGGTTGGATGTGGCCTGCCAGACCATTCTATCCGGCCTGCGGGGCTCCTAACCAGTTTAGAAAATTAATATTTATCTGCCCTGTTGTATATGAATCTTGTAGAACTAAAGCAAAGCTTTGTAGTGCTAAAAGTGAGGCCATTTCTTTGTCCTTTCGCCTCCATTTCATAAAAGCGGACACAGCACTTACGAGACGGCTGGGTAAGAAGAGAAGTACTGTGTAAGGGTTACTGATAAGATATGAAACTAGCTGAATCCAGTCAACAGAGGAGTCTCGTCAACAGAGAAACCTTGAAAGTAGTACAAAGATTGTTTTTATAAAATACATCTTGGCAAAAATATGCGGGGCATGTAGTCACGAGAGTTAAACTTTGGTGTTCACGCTCACAATGCTGCTTAATTGGATAAAATAGTGATTTAGTTAATAAATAATTAAGTATTTTTACGAGCATGAGCTAATCACGAACTAACGCTGATGTACTAACAAAGTATAAAATAGTATTATATCTAGTCAGTGGGGTCCCTCCTCAGAGGCACCTCGCTGCAGCAAATAAAGATTCTGTATCTGACTTTGCATACTTGCTCTGCGTGATCATTGTGCCAGCCTAGAGCAAACTGCATGTGGCTTTAAGAGCGTAATTCGTAACAGCCCCTGGCTGCCTGTCATGGAGCCCTCAATGGCTTGCCAAAATTCAGTAAGTGGCCCTCCACCCGAAATAATTGCCCACCCCTGCTCTATACGTTTGCCCACTTTTTCAGCTGATACTGCTCCGCAGTACGTCAGAGGTCTCCCAGTGGCCGGGGGCCTGTTTGCTTGGCTCCAACTCCCCTGTTCAAAAGTGAAGTGGCTCAGAGGCTGCTTCACTCCAGGGCTCCCCATGCCCCTCATATAAAGAGAAGCAGTCTCTGACCACTCTGCTCATTACTCTCCCTCGCAGAATGAAAAAGAACTGATTATGCCTGACATAGTCTTACTCCTGCATCTCCCACACTCCTCGGCCAGAGACAGAGCTACACCCACTCTGCAGGAGAGGACCATGAAGCCACCCAGGCAGTCTCTTCCCAACAGTCCAGTCCAACTGAGTGGAGGAGACAAGGGTACATTTAGGGGTTTGTCCAAGTTGACCCAGGATAGTTGTACCTTCAGACATCTTCATGCCCATGGGCCTTTGTGTTGCATACATACCAAAAGCTATATCTGTGCTTAAAGCATAACAAAATGAAATAGTGATTTCCTCTTGAATGTTGGCTAGACAAATATTTATTATAATAAAGATCAGGTATCATGAGAGTAGGATCTGTGGTGGGGGTTGTATTTCTGCAGAAGAGAATGTCTCCGAGGTTCCTTCATGCCCCTGTGAAACTGTTGAAATGGAAGCAAATTGCCTTCCCATTGCTTTCTATGGGAAAAACAGTTGGCTATGAGCACAAAGGTTGCGGGCAGTTGCACAACATTTTGCTCTAAATTCATCCTTTTGCAAAAAAAAGAAATGTGGTCGTCTTTGTTTTTGGAGGGAGACATTTACTATGAAGGTTTATGGTGACACAGCATTCTGCTGTAACTGCTGCATTTCCAGAACTACTGATGCCTCCATGGCTGGCTGGGAAGAGAAGCTTCCCATCATTGAGAATGGTAACAGTATAATGAGATTAAGGCCTGCCTTTCACTTTGATAAAATGACTGAGTCAGATGTGTCAAAATGTGGCTCAGTCTGAATTGGAACAAAGCAAGGAAGGTAGGCTCAGCCTTAACTATCTGTTGACATTAGCAAAGCGACAAACACGGCTGTATAGCAACAGGAGACCCATACATTGCATTTGTACTCATTATCACTAAAACCAACTCCACTGCTTGTTTCATAGTAGATACATAGGGAGGTTTTAAAGCTTCCGCAAAGCAAAATTAGGGATTCTAATTTTTAAAGACAAAATACCAGTATACTATATATTTTTTTGCAGGAAAGTCCATTGGTAATTGCACTTTGGTAATTGCAGGTAATTGCACTTTGTTTTTCAAACATTCTCACATAACATGTTCTGCAGCCAGAATTCTCCAAAGATGCACGTGATTTTTTTTTCTAGACATCCTTGCTGTCTCTTGGAATTCATCCTTAGAGAATTGCTCTGAGGCAGGATGGACACAAATTATCTTCACAAATGCCTGTGGGCATTTTTGTGGGAAGTCTACATCCTGAAAGAGAGATGATGACTCAGGTTTTAAATATTTGTTAAATCAACCTTGTACCATTTTGTCTGCCTTTTCCTGCCCTGCTTAATGTTTTCTTAGTCCCCAGTTTCCTAAAAGCTGTGTATTCATATGCTATTTCTTCACTGAGGCAGAGTAGCAAACCAGTAAACTAGATACTGAAGGTTACCGCAAAGGAAGAGAATCTGCTGTAGTGCAATTCTACACTCTTTGTTGTTGTTTTTAAAGTGCATTTCCAAAAATGCATGGCTCCCTGTTTAAATAAATGGTTGTGGTAATTCATACAAGTTCATGTTTCCTCCTAAGCAAATAAGGGGCTTGCTTCCATCCCTCATTCCTCAACTCCTGTATTAAGGAGCTTGAGCTTCTTTTACTTTTAGGGTCATAGGAAAGTGGGGCTATAAGAGACCTCATAAAGTCAATTAGACCAGCCCCCTGCTCAAGGCAGGATCATCCCTAACTAAACCATACCAGCTAAGTATCTGTCTAACCTGCTTTTGAAGGTTTCCAAGCATGGCGATTCCACAACTTCTCTAGATAGCCTGCTGAGATGCCTGACCATCTTCATAGTCAGAAAGTTCCTCCTAATCTCCAGCCTAAACTTCCCCTGCTG